GGGGTGGCGTGGTACTGTGCTTCTCATTTAACAGCATACAGTCGTTTCTTCTTCAAGAATATTGTAAGTGTTTCATGTCTATAGTTCTATAGTAATGTTCATAAGATGGAGGTTGTTGACGCAAGAGAAGAAGTGAGGGATTTTTACTTTTGTTAAGAAAACGAGTGAAGTTGTCTTTGCACTTTTAGTTTTTAGTAAGTGTTTTTACGGCACTTGCAACACAATAAGGTCATATAAGTGCCAAAGATTAGAGGAGTTGCAAGAGAGTAACAAACATAAAAAAGAAGGTGGGGAGATAACGACGATAGCTGTTTGACAGGAAAGAAGGAGCAAACTGCACCAGAGCACCCGCCAACCACCCACTTTGCACTTTTGCAAAGGAATCTATAGTTGAGGAAAACAGAGAAAACTCTGGCTGGTGGTTGGAGGGTGTGACTAGTAGGTCCTACCTCTTTACTTTCCATCTGGTTTTGTTCTTGTCATGTGTTACCCATGTGTTACAAAGGTCTATATGTGAGGCATCATGGTGAAATCAGGCACTAGTCAAAATAATGAAATCGAAGAAACTGTCACTTTTCTTCCTTTTTTGACATTTTGTTTTTTGGTTTATGGTTCAACACCTTTTATTTCCCATTTAAAAAGATATTTCTGTATGGAAATCGCTGGTAAAAAACGTCAATTAAAGGCACCAAAAAAAGAAGTAAATTTTCAGTTTCCAAGGACACTTAAGATGTGTAAGTGACTGAACTTTGGGAGCCATTTTCTCGCTAATTGTACCCCTGAAATCAGGTGACCCCACCTGCTCCAATTGAAAATATCTCAACTTCTATTCAAATAATGAAGTAAGCTGGGTATTTCCCCCAAATGCAATAAACAAGCTTTGAAATGCTACCAATAAATCCTTACATGCACCTAAAAATTGACGAGCGCCTGACTCCACCGCGCTCCATCACATAATGCGCCCAGTACTTAGTTTTGTGAAATTTGACGTGAAAAATTTTGAGTTTTACATGTGAGGCTTTTTCGACAGCAACTCGTTGAATATCTTGATAACGACTCCGAATAATCGTACGATTTTGATAGAGCAAATAGAATAATCGGTTTCTGACCTCACGTTCTGAGTAACTCAAAACGGCCAAAAATGTTAGATAAAACTTTGTAAATCTAAGATAGCGACATGTTTACAAAGCAAAAAGTCAACTGGAGGAACGATGGTAAATGACTGGACAAGACCGTCAATGTTCCTGCCACTACCGCATCACCAATGACTATTTAACCTTATCCGTACGTCGTGTATTACTATCGCATCCATGCGACGTGGAGAACTCTGTGCCACCACTTTCAAAGAGGAAATTTACTCGTCAAGCCGCTTAGTGCGCTTTGCATAGCAGTCTGCCAAAGTGATTTTTTGAGAGTAACTGAAAGTTTCAAAGAGATCTTCGTACTAGAAGTATTCTAAAATGTGTACAAAATGACCACAGGGCGAACGGATCGGGTTATAACGTTGTCTGTTTGCTCCATGCCCATCTGGCCCAACCAAACTGTTTTGGATCCTAAAGCTCAGCAGAAAGATCGAGGTTCTAGGAGCGCGTTTACTTACCAAGTTCCCACTTTGAACTCGAACTCATTTCCTTTGTGTGCAAGGCGACATATGCCGGTGACAAAATGTAATCTCGTAGGAGATGAAACTACTGCTCTGAATCTGCTCTGCCCGTGGAGACAAAGGGAGAGCAACGATTTATTTCCCCCTTGAGACAATGTATCTGCCACTAAAATGTCAATGAATAGCTGCCTTTAGCACGAAATTTAATCTGAGTTCTTTTTCTTTTTTCGTCCAGCTTTGTTTAAAGACTAAAGTTGATCGACCGTTCGTTCGGCAAAGTGCGCTCAATTAATTGTGCGAACAGATTCAATTTATTTGAAACAAAAAGCTGCTTGAACGTCAAAAGAAGAAGAGTCTACTTTTTAACGACCGTCGAACATAGATCGTTTACGTTTTCATTCGTACTGATAAGAAAATCTGACAAAAAACTCAAACAGTAAGGAAATATCATTTATTTACAAGTATAAAAAAGAACCCAAAAGCAACTAACTCCAAACAAAACCCCAACAAAACGAAACATGAAATAAAAACCCTCTCGTCTTTCGTCGCTAGCATATATCCCCTCAAGAAATAATAATATCCAACAAGACCACACGAGTGAAGTATTGGATAAAGTAAAACTGCTTTGCTGAGTGCTTACAATAGAAATATTATTTTGTTATTCTGGCCGGCAAGCCGTGTGCAGTTTGTTTAACGAGATGGACAACGATGACAAGAAATTTGGTGATGCGGAAATTGCATTTTCAAGAAAAATTAAAGATCCTGTCTTGATTCCAGTTTGTCAATGTCGACTGAGGTAAATCATCTTATCAGCTGCATGCATTTAGAATTGAAAAAAAAGTAAAAATACGTCATCTAATCAAAACTAAGTATACAGCTTTATTAGTAACTAGCTAAGTTTGATCAAGACTAGATTATTGTAACTCCTCGTTACCGGGAATACTCTGGAGGAAGTGAAACGATTCCAAACTGTTCAAAACAATGCTCCACCTTTAGTTTTACAGAAGGGAAAGTGAACCTCTCCTTTTGGTTAGGCTACCGGACTCGTAATTGTGAGGTTGCGGATTCGGGGGTTCGAGCCGCGGGCCCGACGTTGTGTCCATGGGAAAGGCACTTTACCCGAATATTCCCAACTTCACCCAGGTGAAAATGGGTACCCGGCTATAGACAGTGAAAAGTTCGTATCAGTTTGGTAGTATTTTGAGCGCTTAACCAGCTGCATGCATTGTATGGTTCCTGGAAAGCTGAGAATGTTTCTGAGTGTTTTATCGTCTGCTGGGGTAATAATATAGTGTAAAGAGCATAGAGCTTGCTTTCGAGTGGGGGCATGCGCTATACAAATGCTATATTATCATCATTATTATTACAGACACTGCACAGGCTTGAGGTTGAAAAAAGAATCATGTTCAAGTTGGCCACACTATTTCACAAATGCTTGAATGATAATGCCCTATCATATTTTTCAAATATGTGGAAATTGTACATTTCAACTGGGGCGCGCTCATATGACCTTATGCAGTTGCGAGCGCCGTAAAACCCCATACTAAACTAAAACTAAACAACTCGCAGTTAAAGGTCTTCTGCAGACCAAAAAGAAACATCTTTTACCATTTGCGAAACACAAAACGAGGTTCCACCTCTTGAATAACCTAATAGAGTTGATAGGGGCGTTAAACCTATACCATTTCATTTCACCAAATCGTATTTTTTCCCCCACACCAACCACCGACATACTGTATTTCTAAATGGGGCATTAAATAAAACCTGTCTTTACCCAGGTTATCATTACCGCTTTCCAATACATTCCAAAAAAAATTAATGAGGGCGAAATCGCTCAGTTTAACATGCGCTGTTCTAAATCATGTAGATACGGGGGGTGGGGGGGGGGGGGGGGGAGGAAATTAAATTACATTCTGTTATCCGTTTTAACATCCGGTTGGGTAATACTCATACAAGACATAATGTGAGCGTAAGGGTTTACGTAAATGTTTCCCTCTAACACTTCATGTTATCAGAGGAGATTAACTTCCGACTCCGGCCAAATGACTTTGGTAATGTAAGATCAGAAGATTCTCTGAGTCGATAAAAGTTCTACGATTAAATTTTGCCGCAAAGAGGTGTTGTTGTCGAGAATGGTCGTAATATGTAATCATAGAACAGTACGTAATATGTAATCATAGAACTGTACGTAATACGTAATCATAGAACTGTACGTAATATGTAATCATAGAACTGTACGTAATATGTAATCATAGAACTGTACGTAATATGTAATCATAGAACAGTACGTAATATGTAATCATAGACGTTAACACCCCCATCGACATAAATTGTGCCACGACGCGGTGGAATCAGGCGCTCGTCAGGTTTTTGGGCATGCGGAGTTATTGGTATCATTAGAAAGCTGATCCATTTGCCTTGCTTGTTCTGAACCCCCCACCCTTATATCTTGAATAAAAGTCGAGATATTTGCGATTGAAGTAGGTGGGGGTAGCCTGGTCTCAGAGGTAAAATTAGCGAGAAAATAGCTACCAAAGTTTGGTAACCACTTTTGTTTGAGAGTCCTTGTAATCTTAAAATTTACATATTTTTTGTCATTAATCAACGTTTTTCAGTGAAATCCACATGGAAATATGCTTTAATACGGACATAAAAATTCTTGAGCTAAAAAACAAAATTTAGGCCAAAATTGCCAAACTATAGGAACATTTGTCTTTTCATTTGATCTAAATATTTTGACGAGCGCCCAATTTCACCACGATGTCTCAAAATTAGATTTTAGTGGAAGCGGGCTGCTTCGACTCTGTCTTTCAGGGCCAACCCAGGATCAAAGGCATGCACGACCCAGGAGACATAATATATGGAGACAATCGATAATCCCCCCACCCCTATCAGAAAACTCT